CAATTCATTTCACAAGTGGATCTCAGTTTGCTTTTGCCATATGCCTCTTTATCTTAATGAAAAAGAGCTTTTTTTGTAGGACAAACACTACTATCTATATATTTAATAGAAGCATATTGACGATTGCTAGCTGTGAGCTAATCATACGTCGTATCTCAACTCAATAGGTCGCACCGAGCCATCGCACTCTGCCCCCTCCCTTTTCTGGTGAAGGATAGAGAGTTTGACAAGCCGATGCAGATAAGAAAGAAAGTCTCGTTGAAAGCAGGCATTCACTCCCGAAAATTAAAAGAGGGAAATAGGAATTATAACCTCCCAGTCCCATTGATTAAATTTAAGATACAGACCTGAAACTGAAATGAGCCCATTCCATTTCTACACATTATAACAGTAATAGGTTAAGATCAACAGGTAGCGTAATAATTTAATTATTCTGATTCATTAGCACATATTTTAACTCTCCATGATTCTAGCTATTGTTTTCTTGTAGTTTAATTCTTTGAAAGATCAAGGAACGCGCATTATAATATACAATCTGTGGGAAGATGACCAAGGAGCTCCACAACTTGATTTTGACACGGATCAACATGTAGGCTTGAGATTCTCTCGCATAAGATTTATTTTTTATATATATTTTTACCTGCATATTTGCCCATTGTACTGATTCTGATATTCTTCTTGCAAGTAATAACTACTAGTCATAAAAGATAAAGGAGACTCCTATATTATTTTCCACTTCTTTTCTCAGGATATTCAAATTAGAGGTGTCAGCCGAGATGAGAAAAAGATAGAGGTGGCAAAAATTTACCCGAACTCAAGGCATTTTCTAACTTATCGGCATTCTTTAAGGGTATTTATTTTTTCTACTTTATTGCCCATGCATTTTGTTTAGCTTCTTTCTTATTTCCTGTTTGGCGCGATTGGTGTTTTTGCCATTATTTTTTGCATTGTTGTTGTTAAGTTCTCACTTATGCCTACTTGAACCAGTTAACTGAGTACTCGGTAGAACATGAAGTTTAGATAGTACTTGCATTTTTAGAGGAAAAAAATATTGAAGTTATCCCCATATGTCACTGTATTTTTTAGTAGCTTGATATCCGCTTAGTTTGTTTCTGCTCTAATTATTTCTTTTCTTTACGCGTTTCTGCAGAACTATGCCTCAATTTTGTACCTAAGGGTTCCACCTGGTTTCCAATTGATTCTACTCAGAAAAGAAATTGAGCATCATAATATGGTCAATGATATGATGCCAATCTAAGGAGTTTACATATAGGCCTATAGCAGATGCAGGGTCAAAGGATCCAAAAAATGTAGGACTTTTTATATTGCGATTTCCGATTTGGCCTCTAAATACATGACACACATCATTTTACTTTTTGACGACATTGTTACCTGGTTCTTCTTTTGTCATTGTAACAGATGGTAGCGGTTGAGACTATTGGCTTTGTTAAAGATGCTAAAAGTCATATTGATGTTCAAGGGTTCAATGTTTACCATAAGAATCGGCTTATCAAGGTTGGTTTTATTATAAGAATTAATCTATTTGTACATGGAAGTTTACACTCCGGTTGACACGGTTCCACCCGACCTCTCACATGGGAGAGGTCGGGGTCCACGCCCAAATGTGTGGGGCCAACCTCCCCATGTGAGAGGGGAGGTGGACCCGTGTCAACCGGAGTGTAAGGCTCCATGTACGAGTAGCACAACCGTTATTATAATCTTCATAATACTACCCCATTTTTATATTAAATTCTTTCGTTAAATGTGCTAATCTAAATTCGTTTGTTGTCAGCCTTTCTGGAGGGTCTGGAATGCAGCTGGAAGTGATGGCCGAGGAGTGATAGGTATTATTTTCTGCAAGCAACTGGAATCAGCGTCGTTTATTATTATTGTTATTTTTTTATTTTTTATTATTATTTTTATTTTTTAATACTTAGATCCTTTATTTGGATTTTCTAAAGTGATTTTATTTATTTTTAACCTTATCCTTTATGTCTAAGGTGTATTGGAAGCTAATTTTGTGGAACCAGCACATGATAAACAGGGGTTTGAGCACACAGCTGTTCTATCAAGACTCGAGGCTAGGCTCAACTCCTTACAGAAAAACTGCTGGTTCATTCTTTTGTTCACATGTTCTACGTTATGCACTTATGCTCAAAATTTTATAAAACTAGTGATCGAAGTTGTTAAATTTTCTTTTAAGTTAGGTCTTCAAATTGCCATTTAATTGGCTATGCTCCACGCCGACAACCAAAGAAGTTTATTTCTCCCGTGAAAGAAGCACCTACTACAAGCAAATCCTGTTCCGGGTCTAAACAAAAGGAGCGTGCCTCTTATGATGGTGCATCGGTGCTGCAATCGACTAGTAATACAGATTATAAATCGCTTGCTGATGCCACTGGAAATGTGGGAGCAACTCAGTCTGTGGCACATGCTAGAAATCATAGTAGCACATTATCAATTAACGGAAGAGCTCAGGCGGAACCTGTATCGGACAGAATCACTCAAAACATAAGCGTTAAGGTAAATTACATTTGTTTTTTCATTCATACATCTGGAAGCTTTTTTCCTTTCTCTTTCACGCATGATTTTAGCTGCATTGGCACTATCTCAAATTTTAAAATACTTGCTAGTGGTGATTTAATGTTCTGAATTAGAGGTTGGAGTCCATAATCTATGTATTTTTTCTGATTTTCCCATCTTAAACAGACTGAAGTTGTAAGCAGAGATGCACGTGAGGCTTATCCTTCCATAACAGATATGCTACTTAGTTTGACAGAAGAGAATAATTCCTTGCGAAGGAGGTAGTTAATTTAATTCTCATTTATAGTATTTTCGGCTGGATCACATGCTTATTGCTGTATTGTGACTTTCAGTTTAGAGGAAGTCGTACAGAATTTGGTGTTTGAAAGGGACAGGATATATTACTTCAAAATCTAGTAAGCATTAATCAAATAAAAACTGATTCATCCGTCATTTTTACTTCTTCACTCATAAGTGGGACGCACTTTTATCTTTAACGGTCAAAAAAATTGATTATCATAATCATTACCGCACAAGCTCTAATAAAAACAATATTGCCATTTCTTGCTACAGCTTCAAGATACGCAGCAAAAATTGGGAACGTCCGATGTGCTTCTAAAACCATTGAAGGGTTGCTCCATAAAATCAAGATGCTGGAGAGCAGGCAAAACTGAAATATGACAAAACAAGAATACTAATTTGACATATACAAAAGTAATTAGGTCTATTAAATTTCAAGTTATGTATTAAAATTGTACTATGAAATAAAAACTTCGTAGACTGAAATGATTTAAACTTTGCTAATGAGATGTTTCGACTTTTCCAGTAAATGATTTTATCTGCGTTAAAATGGATTCATAAGCAATCGGTTGGTAGGTAGAAAATATTGAAGAGTACAAAATAAAATTTTAATTTCATTTTTTCAGTATTCCTATACAATTCCATGAGAATGGTATTTATGTATTATTTCATGCTTGTTCTATTTCGTGTCTCGATTGCAGTCAGCTTTATTTTGTAATAGTACCCATGTCAGGTTGTTTTTTGTTTTTTTATTTTTATTTTTTTATGTTAAATTATGAAAAATGATAAAAACTTGGGAGTTGTTTGGTTCAATTGTTTTCAGTTTTGTAAAGCAAACAAAATTTATTTGATTTTGGTATTTTTTAAAATACATTTTTTCAAAAAAGATTAAATTTATAACATAAAATTCAAAACATATTTTTGACATTTTGAGCATTGTTAGTGAAAACATTGATAACATTCAAAACATAGAAATATAATTATTTTAATTCATCGAACTCTCAATCGAGATGATGAAAATTCATGAAGGCTCTCATTGAGACTCTCGTATAACTCACCATGTAGAAATTTTGTTTGTAATTTACGCTCAATCTTGAAGTTTCAAATTTATTTTACTTTGGTTTCTGCTTCTTGTCTTTTGTTCGATTTTAGTTCTTTTTGGTCCGAATCTTCAATATTGATCACGAACCTTTCAAAAGCTTCTATGTCAGTACCTGAACCCCAATAATCATTAGGGATTGGACCTCCGCAAGTTTCAAAAATGTGCAATTAGTCCCCAAACCTTTGATATGTTCAATTTCACTTCCGAAACTTGTGACTTCCTTCGATAGATTCCTCAATGCTTCTTACTTATTCCATGCAATCAAATTAGGCTTCAATTACTCGATTCAACATTGATTAGGCTAAAAATCATTTTTTTTGCTTCAAATGCTTTCAATTTCAGGTTTTACCTACAACAACAATATGTGCACTAAATTAAGTACAAATTTGCTCAAATTTGCAAATATAATTCAAGTTTATAAGCACAAATAAGTGCCATATTTATAAGTAATTTTTTCAAATATAAGTTAGATTTAACTTAAAAAGTGAAATATTAACTTATAATTGAAAATTTAACTCATAAGTAGTTTTTTACTTATAAATAAATTTCATAATTATAAGTTAATTTTATAAATTTTAAATTACTTATAAGTAATTTTTTATATTTTATAAATGAATTTTTGTCTTGCTAATAATAAGCAATTTTTTAAAATTATCTTTTAAGTAATTTTTTACTTATAATTTTTTTGTTATAAAGTAACTTCTTGCTTATAAATAAAATTTTACTTACTAGTTAGTTTTGAACAATAAATGTGAGTTGAAAATAATTAATTCAATGAAATGAAACTGAAAGACAATTTGAAAAACAATCAAACCCCACCAATTTGATGAGTTGAGAAAGATGCCAAAATTATACTACATCAATTTTGGGTGATTTTTCAACCACTCAGAATTGTTGTCTGAAAAATATTAACTATTACAGATTTTTTAAACATCTTATAAACAATACCACTGCTACACACACACACACACACACACTCAAGCAGGCCATTTACCATTATACTTGACTAATTCGTAGTAACTTTAATTGTGACTCCTTCTGCTTTTAAATGGTTTAAATTAGTGAGTAAAACACATAAATATGAATGTTAAACTTCATTCTCTATACAAAGGATTTGCTCAGAGTTACATCAGTACTCAATTAGAAATTTTTAAGAACAAACTAATAGAGTAACAACTCTACAACTCCCGAGAAAGAGTTGGCTAAACAGAAGAGAATACTAAAACGGCCAAAGCCCCTTTTTGTTTTTTTCCCCGCCTAAGAAACTGAAAAACGGACATTAAAGCCAGAGAGCTCCAGCTTCTTTGAGCAGTGGAACCAAAGTGCCATTAATATGTGACGCCATAACTCTATCCATAGCACCGACAAGCTTACCGCCGATGAACACAACCGGCATGGCGGAGCCGTCACCAAGCAGCCTCATGAGTGCCCTCTCAAGTTCTTTCCCTCTAGGATCCAGGTCTAGCTCATAAACAGTTGGGTTCACTCCCATGCCACAGAAGAGCCTCTTCACTGCATGGCACATACAACATGTACTAAGGCTGAATATAACCACTGCACTTCCGGATGCTAGCCGCACCACCCTCTCTAAAGGGTCCACCGCCGCGTTCTGCCGCACTGTGGAAGCATTGTAATTCCCATACGACTCTGCATGATAATGCATTTTCTTTCTTTTTATTCAAAAATATAAAAAATCTTAAGACTGATGTTCAGATGATGATGAAATTGAAGACTGATCTGTGTCTTTATATATGTGAGTGTTGTGTATAGTGGGGTAGGGTAAGGGTAGGCGTACGGGGGTTGTCTGATGTTTGTCGCAACGCGTGCTAAGAGTATCTACGTAGTTTTTCCTTTAAAAGGATGGAAAAATACGTAAGCACAGACTGTGGACAGCCCAGAGACATACTCTGAAAGTGTTAGGCGGCTATGTGACTTATGGAAAAATAATGTTTTATTCTAGGAAAATGCCAAATGATTCGTGCCGTTGACACTTCGGGTAACCGCACGCTCACATGATCGACATGGATCCCCCGTGAATAAAATAATTCCGACCTCCATGTGTGTGTATTATGTCAACCATGCAGTCACTTGTACGGGCTATGTAGCTCGATCCTGTATTAAAATTCAAAGATAGATAGATGAGGCATTTTAGGACCAGAAAGGAATGATTTTCTTACAGCCAAAATCTCTGCATTACGTTTGTATGTATAGACGACGGCTGAGACCGTCCTTATTGTCGGGTCTTACCAAAGAAGTTAATGCACATGTTGTCTCCTCTTTAATCCATTATTCAATATCTATAATATACCAACATTACGACACGTATTATTAAAAAGTACGAGTAGGCAACGGTTCTCGTTCTTGCTCAATATGGATTCAGGATAGAATTAAAAAAAAAAAAAAATTTAAGCCGAGCTAGTATGTAAAGAGAAAGAAAAAAATTTACCATTGAAAAATTGAAATGGGTTGGGCGGATTGGATTGGGCTGAGCCTAAATCCACCATTGGTCGTACAATCAATCTTTTTTACATCTTTCAAATATAGTCTTGATCTCACACTAATGAAATACATTCAGAACTTTTGAGATGCCTATGTTCCATAGAGCTTATCTAGTTCGATGTTGAATTTTAAGCAATATAAAGATATAGACGATGAAGTCCGTATGATGGTCTAAAATTTTCAAATTTCTCATGAAGTGACATATATATGCAAATTATGTAAACAGTTAATTAATAAAGTGGCTTTGTTTGAAGAGTACATGAAAATTACTCACAGAAGTCATATAGTTGCCGTCAATGCCAATATAAAACTGTCAAGTGTGCATCTATAAAAATTCGATCAAACTTTTTCTATATACATAGCATCGTTCTTGCTTGAATCGAAATTTAAGGCACTCTATAACAATATAGAAGAGTAGTTGAGGAAGCAAATTGAATGTTTGTTTCATAATTTATGTGCTTAGGTATAAAAAATAGTAAGAATTTAAATTTTGTGCTGGCATCATTAAGGTAAAAGGGAGGAAGAATTAATATAGTGATGGTGAAATGTCTTTATTGGAATTGCGTAAATGAGATGTCATAAAGTGCACTTAAATTTTAATTTGTACATCATCGAAGCTTTCGAAAATGATGCATGCTCGTCTCTTTGTATGATGTCATATCCTTTAAAATTTTGCACTTAGAACACACCAAAAGCTCTCATAATGGAAAAGCAAATATTTATGGTTTTCCACAGCCCTCTGTCCACCTTTGTACTTGACACAATGTAATAATTCCCATTAGATAAAATTGCATTGTTGATCCTACTATATTGTCCTACATATTTATCTCGAACCATTAATATTTCGGGCATTTGCAATTGAAATTTTAATGAATTTTTATGGGTAATTAGTACAAAAGGTTCCTACCTTTCAATATTATTGTGTAAAACGTCCATACCTTTTTTATTTTGACATTTTCACCCTTATTTCAACGATTTATTGCAAAAAAGTCATTTTCACCATTTTTTAATGTAAAATGACCAAAATACCTTATCATTTAAATAAAACGAAAAAACGGAAAAAAAATAAAAAATAAATTACAATCCTACTCCTAATAATACAAAAAGTCCTTACGTTTGGCTTATAGTGTGCAAAACGTCCTTACTTTTCAAATTGGTGAAAATGATATTTTCCGCAATAAAACGTGGAAATATGGATGAAAATGCAAAAAAAATTGGAACTTATGATGTTTTCTATTTCAAACGTAGGGATTTTTTTATTTTTTATTTGCTAGGCCTTATTAAAATATTAAAAAAACCCACACTCACACTCTCTCTCTCTTCTCCTTCTCCAAATGGGTCAGCCATTTTAAAAGCCAAAAAACTCTAGCAAATCAATACCCAAACTACTGGATCAACATACCACTAAAAAGTTTTTACTTCTCTCTACAAATACCACCTAACATCCATTCTTGAAATCTTCATGTTAATAAATTTGTTTGGAATTGTAAGCCAAAATGCCCAACTCGAGAATACAAATATTAACAGTATCACCTGTTTCGGAGAGACCCATGTCATTTTTAACATACCAATCGACTATACTCATGAGGATGTCTCTCTTTATGGTCTTAACATATCAACAGATGGTTCAGCGGTATGGAAGTTCAGCGGTTTGGACAATGGTTGGTCGGAGTTTTTCACCTCTAATGTGACAACCACATTTGGAAGAGAGAGAGAGAGAGAGAGAGAGTTTTTGTTATTTTAAATATTTTAATAAGATCTAGTAGCATAAAACTTCCCTACATTTGACACTTCTTTCAAAAATTGTCCCTACGTTTCAATTTTTTTTGTATTTTCATCCATATTTTCACGTTTCATTACGGAAAACATCATTTTTATCAATTTGAAACGTAGAGACGTTTTGCATATTATAGGCTAAACGTAGGGACATTTTGTGCTATTAGCCGCTCTAATAATTACTTGGACTCACTTGCACTTTTTAAAATATTTAGGAGTAATATTGTAATTTATTCTTTATTTTTCTTTTCTTTTTTTTTTGTTTTGTTTAAATGAGAGGGAATTTTGGTCATTTTATATTAAAAATGGTGAAATTGACCTTTTTTTTTGCAATGAAACGTTGAAATAAAGGCGAAAAAGCTAAAAAAATGAAAGGTATAGACGTTTTACACAATAACATTGAAAAATATGGACCTTTTGTGCTAATTACCCAATTTTTAAGTTATTGTAAATTTAATATTTTTAATAACTCAAAAGTTTATAAGGGTTTGATTAATAGGACTTCAAGAGATTGAGATAGATTTGAAACTTGAAAAGCATAACAAATTCTTTTTAGGTTTACCGTTTTTAACATAATTCTTATAAATTTTATGAAAATCTATTCAACTTCATTAAATTCATTATAATTTATAATATTTTAAAATCCAAGTCGACGACAACCTTTACAAATTTTCATTGTGGTTACGTAATTATTCTTCGAATATAGATATCAATTGACACGACTCATTTCAAATCACCTTATTGGACGCCAATGTGACATACATGCTCTAAGACGAAAGACACCATCAATGCTAACTTTGACATCTATTTGACTAAACCTAACCTGAAAATCAATAAAAATTCAAATCAATAAAAATTCAAAAAGTAAAATTGGAAGTGACGTATGGTTTCATAAAATTTAACAAAAACATTGGAAATATTTTTTTCTTTTAGCAATATGTTGAGTTCAATTCAAATTAATGTTAAATTGATGTCATATCCTAGAATTGAAAACTAAATAATTTTGGGAATAGACCAAGTTATTAATCGAACAATAGATTGAGGCCCAATAATGCAATTTTGGGAAAGCATTAGCAAGACAAAGTAAGATTTGATCATGGTCAAATAGTATTAGTGTCCACCTAAAGCGACAGCAGGTGTGGCAGTTTCCATGAGAATAAAGGTTGCGCGTGCACTGAAGCGGTGGCAGAGAGTATGGAGTCGGGCGGCGGGTAAAGTACGGATGCGGCGAAAACCGGCGAGAATCCATCAACATCCGACCAGAAACTAACTCTCCATGTCATTGTTGTCTCCCACTTTTTTGCTTTTGTTCACTTTTACTCACATCGTGGTAAGCATAAGCAGGCACGTTTTCTTAACTTTGAGGGGTTGACCGGATTTAAGGAAAAGAAGGGCTCTTCATTCCATGTTCTGCTCCCAATCTTGTACTTTCATTTGCATTTGTATATGACCAATAAAGCCTGTAATAAAGAAGCCTGAACATAGTAGCACTTGCATTGTCTCCATCACTCTTTTTATTTTTTTTATAATAAGTTCGTGACCATAAGTTTGTAATAAAGAAGCCTGAACATAGTAAATATATGTAGTACTTATGAACCTCATGAATATATATATATATAAGTTTAATCAATTATAACTATCCTATAAGATTAGATTTGGCTCGAAGTGTACTTGGCCAAACCTATATGACATTATTACAAGATAATGGATGGCTCGTAGTGGACAACATAGCCAACGCTATCAATTGAAAATCTCAGCAATGTCAACGAGTACACCATTATATTTACTAGAATAATTGGAACAACCACTATATGTACGTACATTATTGAACCATTATATTAGTACGTGCATCCCTCGGAATCAATAAGAATTTTAAACGTAATAAACAATAGAAGATATTTGAATTATTAAAGATGTCTTAAATGACCAAAAAAATTGATGCAACTAATTTTATGTACTATAGTATCAACAATTTGTCTTTTCTAATTAAAATGATACAATTGTAATGTTTTAATGTTTATTTCTTTATAATATAACCCATACACACACACACACATATGTATATACACACACATATACATATACGCGTGCACACACACATATATAGACACACACACACACACTTTACATATATAGACACACACACACATACACTTTATGTGAAAGTAAAAGCTTGTGTAAACATGGCTGTTTGTTTTCGTATGGGAAAATTTGGACCATTATTCTCAGTGGACTCCTATGCCTAAAAACCAACTTACGAACATCCCAATCCCAAAATGGAAGATAAGGTGAAAACTGGTCAATAAGTTATATAAATGTACAACGAAACGTCAAAAAAAGTGAAATCAAATTAATGTATCAAATTACAAGATAAGTTGGAGCATTATTAAATAGAGAAACGTACATCTGAAACAAAATGTATCATACAGATCGAACTTGCAATTCCGATTTCTTAGTTTGAATTTCTTGAGGAACCATGCATTTTGATTAATTCAACTTGATAAAATAAGTTAGCAGCTACGTTCTCCTTTTAACCATTGATGTTGGATTACCATCAAAAAGGCCTTCAATCAATGTCTCAATATCCTCAGGCTG